ATTGGACCTCATCCAGATAATGCTCTCACAAAGTGCACTCCAACTTATGACCCCTACACGTGAGTTGCAGCAAGCACAACGTTAATACGCGTAAAATATAAGCTAACAGAGCTGGACAAAAATAATTCATTTAACTAAACATTTGTAAGTACCTCAGGTCGTCAAGCTCCAACACCACCATTTTTGTCTTCCTACTAGAAACCACACGATCACAAACTTTCCCAATTCCTGAGATTAAACCAATGACGTCTACAAAAAAAAAACGCAGCAAAGAGTTTGTGAAAAAATTATGCAATAATGAAAAACGAATATAGAAACATAAAAAACACAGTTAATGAAAAAAATAATGATACAGAATAAGATTACTCGTGACAAAACATTAAAAACACAAAACTATAACCGCAAAGAGTTTAAAAATAAGGAGATAGTCATGATACAGAATAAACCAATGACGTTTAAAAATTAAAAAAAGGCAGCAAAGAGTATGGGAAAAAAATAAAACCCGCAATAATTAAAAAAAGGATAAGAGTGAGGAAGAATCTATTACCGACTAAATAAGGGGAGTCAGACGTTTCTTTCTCAATGATGTTATAATCAACAAAATCAAAATCACTCGCACAAATATCAGAAACAACAATCGATTTAACATCAGTCCTCAAGTTAAAAGACAAACGATACTGATGCTTGGTTGGCCTAAACACATCGCTATTGAATCCAACTCCAATTTTTTTTATAAAATAGCACTCTCCTTCGTTGATTTTATTCCGCACCTGCAAGGTACCTTTGACAGTGGCGTGGATCCTACCACCCTACAAAGTAATGGAGCCAACTTATGTCAACAACGTTAACTAAAATGATCAAAACAAAGATGGAAGATTTTTAAAACACAGAACACAACATGTTCATCCAATAAAACCATTTCAAGATTGTCCTCCAAATTTTTACGCTGAAAGTTAGGAACTTTCCAAGTCCGAACTACCTTCACCTTAATCCTCGAGTCCTCCTTGGCAGGATTAATATCCTTCAGAAAATCATATTTTGAACTCATATTTTGTGTAAGAATAAAAAACAGAGAAGCAATCACCGATGTTGAAGAATAATGTGTATCAGGAATTGTATAAATGAGAGTGATTTAAAGTTTTTGAATTGTCTTCTTTAAAAAATGTGAAGTTTTTGAATTAAACTGAATAAAGATTTAAAAAACAAAGATAACGACAAAAGAGTGATTCAGTAGTTATAAATGAAATTTTCATGGAATATAACTTGTCTCGCTTACCAACTATGCGAGCGTTTGAGGTTATCTAGTTCAAATTATAATGAATATAAAAAATAAAATCCATAATTATAAATTTTAGTTAAATAAATTCCTTTTCTCGGTTTTATTTATCAAAGAAACACAAAATAAAACATAAAAGGTCTGTTTGATTGTATTTTAATTTTTTTTATTCTTACAACTATTTTATATAATAGTTATAAAAAAATAAAATGAATTATATAAAAAATAGTTATAATTTTAAAAACAAGACTTATCAAACGGATTTGTTTATTTTTTTATTCTAAAATCTAAAAAATTATTTTTAGAAATAGTATTCAAAGAGGACAAAGAATTCCATCGACTTTATGGGTGTGCATGACAACCTTCTCAGAATTTTTTTTTTTTAATTTTTATTTTTGAGAACATAAATGCATAAAGAAGATAAAATGGTTTTTTTTTTTTTCGATAGACAAATAGTTGCTCATTTTATTTTCAGGCGAGTGCAGCTCTTGGCTCAGTGCCTGCTTTGGTTGCTTATTCTGAATCACGTGTACGAGTCTAAAAATGAGTCTGGTGAGTAACTAGTGTTGTTTACTTTAGATTTTAGGTTTTTAAAACTTTTACAGTGACTTGAATTAATTCTGCTAGAGGTGAAATTTTTAAATTAATTTGGTAACTAAATTTAATTATAAATTTAAGACTCACAAAATTTTTAAAAACATATATATATATATATATATATATATATATATATATATATATAGGATTAGAATCCATTTACAAATTTTTGCAAATTACACTATGTATTCCAAGAAGTACATAGTATAACTTAGTATATTTATGAGAATACATAGTGTAGTCTGTAAACAAAAAAATTTGTAAATATAATTATTTTATAGAGGTAGGATCCTTTGACACCGGTGTCAAATTTCAAATTTAACACCTCATCTTATAGCCGTTAGATCAAAAAATATCAACGACTCTGATTTGCAAGCATGTGACACCATTGATATTTTTTTATCTAACGGCTCTCAGATGAAGTGTCAAAATTAAAATTTGACAATATATATATATATATAGAGGTATGATCCTTTGACACCGGTGTCAAATTTCAATTTTGACACCGGTGTCAAATTTCAATTTTGACACCTCGTCTAAGAGCCGTTAGATAAAAAAGATCAATGGTGTCACATGCTTGCAAATCAGAGTCGTTGATCTTTTTTGATCTAACGGCTCTTAGATGAGGTGTCAAAATTAAAATTTGACTCAAAAGATCCTACCTCGTATATATATATATCTCGAAATAAAAAATAAATAAACTTAAGATTTACGAGCTCTATGACTGCCGGGGGGGCAGTTTTCGGCGGAAGGCGGGAAGGGGGTACACAATCGTTTGACCTTTTCTTCTTCTTTAGTGACATTGTTAGTTCGTTGCTTGTCTCGTATTTCAACGCGCATTAAATTACGCGTAATGGACTCACGCTCCGGCCTGCACGTTGCAGGAAGCGTTATTTGTGGTCAAAATTAGGCGTAATTTGCATTTCTTTATCCAAAATTCAGTGTGAGTGATGAATTTTTACATTAATTAAAAATAGATATGAAAATTATATAACTGAAGGAACCTTGAACATAATATAATAAAATTTTAAGTTGAAATATAATGTCGGATTTGTTTATTATGGTTGATAATTAACTCATTTATATTGACCTCCCATATATACCATATAGAAGCTTCCACTAGAGGATATTATACTGAAAGCAAGGGTTCTCACTCGCTCGGCGCCTTATTTTAGTTGACCTCCCTCAGTCAATGTTGCCATACACATGCATGATAATCAATTAGATTAGTTATTTCTTTTGAAACAAACAAATGTATATTATTATTATTTTTCTCCCAAAGCAATGCGAAACTAATGTATAACTACTTAACTAGAAAATTATAAATTTGTACACCTGAAGAATTCATAATTAGAGGGTATTTTAAATAAACAAACAAATAAATAGAAGGAGTTTAATGCAAAATATTAATTAGTACAGCTTTTAATTAAGGGGCCAAGACTCGGTCAACGAGAATAACTGGGTAAGTCTGATTGGTAACTAATGAGAGGCAGAGTGCAAGCTTGTCACTTTCAACGAACAAATAGTTGTTGGAGTTTCAGATCCGCTTTATTTGATTATAAAAAAGACTATAGGCACGACGTTTACTTGCGCAAAGTCCCTAACCTTTTAGTCTAAGCAACAATGAGTCAATATTTTAAAAATAATTATTTTTCCGCGATTTCAATTTGAAAGCAAGTAAATGCGATAAGGTATATAATATAAGGGGAATATTACATCTCATGTTACATGAGAATAATTCTCTCATGCTATAAAGAGAATTCAAATGGGGCACATCATTAAAAGAAAAGAAAAGGGAGAATGTAATTTTCGAAGTAAGAGAACATGAGATAACTATGTCATGTAAAATAAGAGTAGTATTTCTCATATATAATATTTCAACTAAAAGCAATGTTCACTTACCCACCCACAAGGGAATAGCTATAATAATGAAAATTCATATGTTCTTGAAAAAAAAAATTATTTAATGTATATTGCACTAATTATTGTTTTAATAATACTTTTCGAATTATTACTGGAATAATACACATTAAATAGTACATATCATAAAATTTTTATTCCTTTAGGATCACATAACAATTTCTTATAACGAATTTGATTTCAATCTCCTGTTCAATAAAAATTTTAATTACCTTAATTACCCAGTAGTCAGATATTTTGGTCGTTGAAAATAACCGAGACAAATGAGGGTCCAAAAAATGAGTGCGCAAATTAAAAGAAGTCTATTACCACTTAAATGTTTATATTAGTCTTTTTATTCATTAACATATATAATTTTTTTTAGTGATGAACTTAGATATGTTTCCCTTGATTGAGTGAAGTATCTCAATATAACAGTGCTATCAGAAGTAATGGTATAAACTATAAACCAAAACTCTATAAAGGAGATATCGTGAATATCTTAGGCGTAGGCCGAAAGAGAAGATGGTGAAAAAGCACAATGACTCTATAATTCAGCAAAGTAGGAGATTATGAAATGTTAGACGCAAGACGTCTCTTTAATGACAGAAATTATGATATATATATATATAGGTAATAAAATATTCTCTAATAATGAGAAAGAGATATAATTGTATTGTCAAACAAGCTCCACTACAATGCTTGAGGCAAGCGCACCTCCAAATGTGTATGAGATGAGCTGTACAAGAAGTGAAAGATCTTCTATTATAAAAGTCTAAAAATTTCATTTCAGATAAACAAAAAAATAACATCCTAAATAGAAATTTAAAGGCCAAACCATAAGATAGGACCGGTGAAGCCGGTCCAGACCAAATAGTTTTGATTGATAAAAAATTGCAAAGTATTTTAGATAAAATTAATTGAATTAAAGTTACAATAGAAACATATAAATAACAACAACTATTTTCCAAATAAAAAATGTCCGGTATGACCTCGCCAGTTTGATTCCAGCCGTGTCCAGAACAACTTGATAGTTCACATTCACACCATCCACAGTTCACATTTGAAAAGGTGAACCAAATATCTGCCTTTAGTTTTTTTAGTTTCGAGATTCGCATGCAGCGTCTCCAATATTTAAAATATAAGTAACCACAACCATGCTCACTTCTTACAGCTAAACTCCAAGCTTAAATAGCATTTCTTTGCAGAGAGCATTGTGTTTATAATTATGAAGAACCGTGACGTTGTTCACAGAACAAGTAATCGCTTACGATTGGTAATGCTTTGGGCTCGTAAAGGTGCCATGTTAAGGCGCAAGGTGGTGATGAAGCTGCGTCTGGTGCCAGAGTATTTGAAGTGTCTCTGCTACACAGCACCACCCCCTGCCCAAACCCTTTACTCTGAGCGCGAGCTCTCCTTCGACAACACCCATATCTTCCATGTCAAGACAAATCGCCCATTCTCCATGCACTTCCACCTACCTCACATTTCCTGTATAAACCCACGAGTTGATTTTGACGACGACCATGACGACGTTGAATATGACCACGAGAGAAATAGTCCACTAATGGGTGCAGGGAACCACAATGAGGAATATTATTATGATTGCCAAGAAGAAGAAGAAGAAGAAGAAGATATTGATAAGCGCGCGGAGGAGTTCATTGCTAAATTCTATCAGCAAATGAAGCTGCAGAGGCTGCAATACAATGAAACACCCAACAGAGACTCGACTTGACCAGAGTGCTCATTCACTTTCTTTCATTTTCTGAAATCAACGTGATTTTCAATTTCATTTATTTTTTCAGCTTCGACGTTATGGTTACTTAATGATAGTGAATTGCGAAATTTACATTTGTATAATTTAAATTTCAATAAGCACCACTTAGGCTATACTATTCACTGTTGGAACAAAAAAGAATGTGATGATAATACTATAATTGTTACATCACATGTCTGCATTTTTTCTTAGACCTTGAAGAGAATATCGAATTTCTTGGTGGGCTTCTTCCTTCAATGCTAAGCCCAAGTCTATTGAGGGATTTTTCAAAAATCCTAAACCTTAAATCCTAGATTCTACCTCCTCTATATATTTATTAGTTGTAGGTGGAGGTTAGGTTAGAGATTAGAGAGAAAATTTGAAAGAAAATTATTTGAGAGATTTGAGAGCAAAACTTTAAGCTTTGTATTTGAGAGATCTCTAGAAAGAGTTTGAGTGAAACATCTCTAGATTAGTTTGATTATCATCATTGTTGGATAGGTTGAGTTAACCATCACTTTGGTGAATTTGATTCTTTGTATCCATTATTTACATAGTGAACCAGTGGCGTAGCCACACATGTGCCAGCAGGTGCCAAGGCACCTGCTTGTTTTAATTTTTTTTACTTATTATATATATTATATACTTAATTATAATTAATCAAGGTTAAAATTATAATTTGGCACCACCTAAATAGAAAATCAAATGATCAATACAAAGTAACAACAAACTATCTAAATGCAAACAAATAATAAAGAACGTATACAATAAGTTATTTTTGAGTTTCACCTTCTTTTATTTTTATCTTGTCTATTTGTTTTTTTGTCGCTTTATTCTAATTAGTTATGTTATTTATCCTTATTCCTATTATTTTAAAAAAGAAAGACTGCGCTAAACTTAATCACAAAAATGATTAGTTGACCTATTTCAAAATTTGGGCTCAACTAAACCAAATAAACCCCTTAAAAGTAGGGAAAATAGTTTGTCGTTTTAAAAGACAGAATCTTGTTTTTAGCTTTTGACACTATCTAAGACATAATTATAATATGAAAAATTATTTTTTTCTTCTTTTCTCAATCACTTCAGCTGACGTGTAGAGAGAAAAAAAATAACTTTTTATGAAAATAGCTTTTTATGTTATAACTATGTCTTACCGGTAAGACATAGTGTTAAACACTAAAATGACACAATTTGAGTCCTTTAAAAGGATACACATTTAACCCTTGAAAGTAACAATCATGAATTCAATCGAGTAACAGGTCTACAGTTACGGAATATGAAGGTCTATTAAACTATTGTGTTTTGGCTTATTAGAAACACAAAGAATAGTCAAAAACCTATAATTCCCAAATGTGAGAACTTTCCTTCGTGCTTATGGCTGTTGCAAACAAGGGCAATGTTCTCTAACGAGAGTTATTGAAAATTTAAGAAATAGAGATAATGAAAGATGAGACGAAGGACCATGCTTGTTATACATATAATTATTATATTTGTGTGTTTTCATATCCTTAGGACAATGTTTGGTTCATTACTTATTATGTTGTGGGAGGAAAGTGAAATTCTTATGTTTGAAATGCTTACCGAAAAAGTCTGTGCATTTTTATATATGTGATTTGATATATAATTAAAGATAATTGTTCATTTGAATTATCAATGTTATGTGATATTACTTAGTACATAATTTAGATAACTATGCTAGAATTCATAGTAAATTTTTTTCCTGATAAATTTATGTAATTATGATAAATATTTTAATAATTTAATATATTAAATTTTTTGGCACCATCTAAATTTTAAGGCTGACTCTGCCACTGTGGTGGACGTTTGATCTGGATTAGGTCCCGTGGGTTTTTACTTTTTCATTGGAGAAAGTTTTTCCTCATTAAAATCTGTTTGTGTTCTCTTTCTCTCTCTCTTGTTTGCGTTTTTGGTTTTTTGCTGCGCTGCCCAACCTGGTGCAGTTCAGGCCGAGAAAATTGTCGAAATTCGAGATCTAGGATCTTGTTAATTGACTTCTGCGAAAAGACTACTTAACCGAGTTTGAGGTAACCGAGTTCCCAACATTTCTATGCATGTAAATGCTGAGATAGGGAAAGGAAATTACGAGGATTAAAAAATCTTCATACATAGGTAATCATAATATACAATCCTGTGTAGGATAAAAATGGAAAGTACACAAAATAATGAAACAACAAAATGATTCACTTTATCAATATTTTCTTAAAACCATTTTCTTTCGGTCAAATCCTTATAGGTAAACATTTCAAAAAAAGGAACAGGTTAATCTTTTGTAAAGTAGCAGCAAATGATACATATTTGTTTATCTAATTAAGTATGAGTAAGGATATTCTAACTACTAAAAATTCTCACTACTAACTTACTACCTATCACATCATCATTGGATCAAAGAGAGAATATTAAAAAGTTTTTGAAGAGAGAGAAAATGTTAATCTAATGGTGATTAGATAGGTAGTAAGTTAGTAGTGGAAAATTTTGGTAGTGAAAATATCCCTTCTCATTAAGTATTACGATATTTATCAACTGAACTTTAATTCTCTAAATAAAAAAATAATGGGAGCAGACGGGGTAATTAAAATTGAGTTTTTAACTAAAAATAAAAGGAAGATAAAAAATCGTAATAAAAGATTGTAAAAAAGTAAAGACACTTGAAATGATGATAAAAACATTTTGATGAAAAAAAAATTATAAAATCGTAAAAGCACAATTTTTTTTTTTAAATAGTAAAAACACATTTTTAAAACGAGTTTTTGCATACGATGATGCAGACCAAGTTATATCAGGTTGACTTATAAAATAGCAAACTTCCATTTTACCAGCTCGGCCCATGTTGGCTTACTCGGGCCTTTGACAGCAAAAGGTGCAAGCTGAGATAATGCTATTATGTCTGGGCTTTTTTCCCTCAATGATCAATTTTTTTTTAGGAAAATAAACTTTATGATGACGTGGCAAAGTTTTTAAATATTTACTTATGGGAAAATATTTCTCGACGTCGTTTAAAAATTTTAAATAAATATATCATAAATTTTATTAAAATACTTATGTTTTTTTAATAAATACCTTTTTTGGTCCTCAGTAAATTTCGCGATGTCTGTTTTAGTCCCTAGCAAATAAAAAGGCCCATCGTGGTCCCTAAGAAATTCAAAATGGACCATTTAGTTGAAATCGTGGTCCCTCACAAATTCAAAAAAAACCCATATTAGTTCCTAAAAGAACAAAAATGGGTCCATTTTGAATTTCTTAGGGATTACGATGGACCTTTTTATTTGCTAAGGACTAAAACGGACATTGTAAAATTTATTGAGGATCAAAAAGAGTATTTACTCTATTTTTTTTTTCTAAACCCAAAACAATGTTATTTTAAATTTCTCCTGATTTATTTATTATATGTTTGTGGTCCACTTAATAGTCAATTCCTGCCTTCTTCCTAGAGTACATGCTTCAACGTGCTTCGTTTCACTAATCTAGAAACAAAATAACAAAATTAAAAGAGATTGTCGCTAATTAAACGTACGTGATAATCATTCTATTCTCTGTCATTATTTTTTGAAATAAATAATTAAAAAAAATTATACGTAGGAAAAGTTCATGGACAAAAAAAAATATTCAATAACAAAACTTATTTCTATACTCAAATAGAAAATGTGTATTTAATAAATGTTAAATATTTAATATTGATAACAAATTTTATTATGTCTATATTTAATAAATAGCGTGTCAAGTAAAAAAAAATAGAAAAAAAATTATTTCTTACTTCTACTCGTTTGTATTCTCGGGCAAGTTTTATTAGGACGTGCACCACAACGTTTTCTTTTTTTAAAAAAAAAATTCTTTATTTTTAATGTAGGGAAAATAAATGGTTAAAATAACATTTAATAGAATCGATTTATTCTTGTGTTCTAGAAACACAAATTGGTGTAAATAATAAATAATTTTTTTTTCATTTGTTCCTTGATATATTATTTATTAAATACAGACATAATTGAATGTGCTATCACAAATAAATATATACTATTTATTAAAAAAATAATATTATCAAATATATGCTTTCTTTCTTTAGGTTTATAAATAGTTGTGTTGAGATATATAGTCTCACATTTGTTATATGTAGAGATAGCAAAATGGGCTCAGTCCGCCGAGCCTGCCCGCTCCGCCCGCCAAACGGGGCGGGTTGAGTTTTTCAAACTCGCTGCCTGCCAGGGCTGGATTTTTTTTATTTTTTATTTATTTTTTTAGTATATAATCTGACGGGCTTGACGGGCAGTCTACCCCGCCCGCCTAAACGGGGCGGGGTGGGCGGAGTTTTCTTACGCACTTTCAAAGGCGGGGCGGGCTAGCCCGTTTTTTGATGGGCTTATGGCGGGGCGGGGCGGGAAGCCCGCTTTGTCATCCCTAGTTGTACGAGCAACTAATGTAAAGTTTATAAGGCCTTGAGCACTCCCACCCTTTGAGCTAGGGGTATTCATCAACCGATCCAAACTGATTCAAACCGCGGTGACTGAACTGAAAAACCGATTAAAAACCGTAAATTTTAATTGGATTGGAACGATTTTTGGTTGGGTTGATAAAAACCGATCCAATCCAAACCGATCCAATATATTAATTTCCCTCTACCTACTTGGGGATTTCCCTAATCATAGCCTAAATATTTTTAAACCCAAGACCCATTAACCCATCAACTAAACCTAAGAAAAAATTTAGTCATATCTCATCAACAAAATTTTATTTTTGTAGAGCTTCATATCTCATTGCCAAAATTAAAAAAATTATATTATAGTTTACTAATGCTTTTGTATTTCAAAAAAAAAATTACAAAGTCAATATATCCAAAAGATGTTATTTGCAAATTTTAGGATTTTCAAAAAATCGAAAACCGATCCAATTCAAACCGAAAAAAATTGGATTGGAACGGATCGGATTTGAGAAAAAATCAAAACCAAATGGATGATTATATGATCAAA